TCTACGGCCCTGGGGCCAGCAGCACTGCCCTGAGCCGCCTAGCATATGGCACAGGGCGGGCCGGAGGCTGCTGGGCTTGTTCAGACTCCAACCCGCATTCCACTCCTTGTGTGTGAGGCTACTATTGTCTAGGGCCCTTCCTCACCCACGGGCTCGCTGCTTCTCAGGCTGGGGCGGCTGCCTTCTCTGCTCCTGAGAGTCCCCTTGGGTGCTGATGGGTCTCTGGTGAGACCTCTTCCAGGCTGGCAGGCTGTTGATGGCTCCTCTGTGCCCTTCTCCAGAGACTTTCCCTGCACAGAGGGGAACCCCCCTCCACACACCCCCGGATGCCCAGGAAGTTACTAACCCCCACCCACCCACACCCCAGAAGTGGCCTGCAGCCGGTGATGGACAGATTCAGGCACAAAGGCCCAGCCCCTTCTGCAGGGAGGGACATGTCTGCAGGGCCACACGCTGCAGGGCTCCAGCTCAGAATTCTCTGGATAGAAAGAGCAAGAAGGCCTGCACTTGCTCCCAAGACAACCCAGGTAGGCAGGTTGGTATGTAGAGAAAGCATGAGCAGGGACAGACAGGCAGATGTGGGGCTGACGCCAGCTCTAGCGGTTCCCAGTGGTGCGGCTCAGGTAGTTCGCTGGAGGTTTCTACGCTTCTTCTTCATAGGATGTCCGTTATGATGCCCGCACTGTAGCTTCGATGTGGGAATTCCAGAGCGGCTGCAAGGCCCTGGAATGGTGTCTGGTGCACAGCCGCCCCTTCCCCTCTCTCCCAGGAGAGAAAGGCTGAGGGGGACAGCTGGCGCAGGAATCGTGCCCTAACTTGGCCTTGGTCCGTGGTGGCCACGCTGTGGCCTGTCTGCAGGCCCTAGTGGCCTCATAACTCCTCTGCAACTCAGTTCGGAGCCAAACCACCTGTAAACGAAAACCTCTGATGCCCGGCTTTTGGTTTAGAGGCCATCTTGTCTGGGCACTGGCCTGCCACATGCCCTCTAGGACATGGAAGGCCTGCCAGGGTCTCTTCTCCAGGTGGCAACAAACCTCCTCTCGCTCCACATCACTGGGCCATTGCTCTCAGCAGCCTCAGGCCACCCACCAGTAAGCCCCAAGCCAGGAAGAATGAGGGCCACTCCACCGAGTCAAGAGGCCTCCGAGCAAATCACAGGCTCCCTTTCCAATAACTACTATTGAGGAAAAGATGCAGAGGCCACTTGTAACCTTCTACTCTGCGCACCAGAGGCAGGCCACCCAAACCAGTCTTGATCTATGGGTGGAGGCTAAGCTCACACATACGGTTTCCAGCTCTTGGCTTTTTGTCCCTTGCTCCATTCCTTACCATGTCACAATCCCCTGTGTCCTGGGACAGAAGCAGATGGCCACAGTAGGCCCCCAGGAAGGTTGGGAACTTCCCAGACCCTCGTCAGATTGTGGCCTGGGCTACCACTTAAGGAAAAGAGGTGTCCAGCCCTAAAGATATATCACTGTCACCCAGATGGAGCTCCAAGAAACTAACCAGCACGCATGGAATTATGGAAGTAGATAATACTAAGGTTTCAAGAGGTGAAAATACCATATAATAGGGCTGATTCTGCCAACAGGATTAAAATTCCTCCAAGTTTACTGCTTCAATCTTTTCCGTCAACAGGCATGGGATGCTTTTTTTTCTAAATGTTCCCTTTTTTCTGACCAAAGATAATCCCATTCTAGACCATTAGCCTATTCTTACTCCGGCCAGATTACTCATAATAAACTCATTTACTGAGAGCTTATTACATGCCGCGTGCTTCACACACAAGATCTCCCTTTGCCCTCATACCCCAAGGCATTACTTTTATAGTTGAAGAAACAAAGGCTAGGTTCATTTTCAAGGCTTGCTTCGATCACTGAGGTGTCAGGCGACCTGGTTGCTTGGTCACACAGTTCCAGAACCTTGGTCTGGCTGAACTCCGGAGCTCATGCTCTCAGCTGCCATATTGGTTCATCTACCAAGAACAGTAGAGTCCCGGGAAGGGAATGTTACCTTCTGTTCTTTTGTCCTCAGGCTGCGAGATCCTAAGGCTGAGAGATGAGGAGATTCGCACACCTGCCCACTCTGAGGGGACTACAAACACCAGCTTCACAGGGGCTGCTTTCTGCTTCTTTGGGTTCCCCGTCACAAAACAGAGGGCCTATGTTTTGCTAACAGGGACACTTCCGCAGTGGCCACTAGATACTGTGGGAAAGAAAAAAAAAAGAAAGAAAAATCAAGAGGGGGAAGGCCTTTAACTCATGTGGATCTTCATGTCCATTTTGACATTCCTCCCCACTCAACCATTAATGAAAAATCACATAGCCAATACAAGTTAGAAAATGCAAAAAAAACAAAACAAAAAAAAAGAGGAAACAAGGAAAAAAAATCACTCGTTGGACTCTCAACCAATAATCTGTGGGCAAATTTCCTTCTGTCTGTGTAAGGGCAGGAATTAAAAAAAGCATGGTGAGGATCACATTGTGTGAGTATACTGATTTATTCATGAGAACAATGTCACAGTACATGGTTTTTATAAGCCATCCTTTGCCTTACATCCTTTCATAAACCAAGCTTTGCCTCCACTGACTGGCCGCGCCCTGTTTTCCTTAACTAGCCCCCGGGGTGTGCGCTTAGGTTGGGATGAAGCCTGTCTGAGCCATTTCTCAGCTTATTTATTGTTTTAGGGGCTCCGAGATCAATGTCCTCTTCCTTGGTACACCTAAGCACCTCCTGTAGTGGCATCTGTCACGGGGCACTCCTGCTCCTGACAGACAGGACCCCGCCATCACCCGAGAGCCCGGGGCTCCCACTGGCTTGGCAACAACTTCTGCCTCCAGCCCACGGACCCCACACCGTGCTCCCGGCCTGTCAGCCACGACCTGTCCCTGCACCTGTCCCTGCTGGGACTTCCTGGCTTTACAGATGTGGCTTTACAGATGCGAGGACGTCACAGGAGGAGGGGCCAGGCCAGACAGCGGGGAATGCTGAATTTCCTGACCGTGGTACTTCGGGCAACAGGGGCAGTTAAGTGGGGGTGGGTGGGAGGGGAGGATGGACAAAAACAAGCCGGGTGGTATTGGGGGATTTAGAGGCCAGAAGATGTGGGTTTGGATCCAAGTTCTTCTATTTTTTTTTGCTATGGAAACTGAGCAGATTCTTGGACCTCAGAGCCTGGGTTTCTTCACATTTACTGGAGGAAAATTCCTCCCCTCTAGGGTTTTTGTGGGAACTACATGACATAATGCTAGTGAACTTGTTGAGTCTAGGTCTGGGCCTGATGGAGGCAGTTAATAGAGGCCTGGGATGTTCCCCACCCTGCCCCCCACCCCCGGGGATTAGCCTTCTGTTCCTCTATACCAATCATCTCCAGGGGTACCAAGGGAGCTCTTGTTTTCAAAAGGCTTAGCCTTAGGAAGAAAAAGTTCTCCGAAGCCACACTGGTCAGTGCAGGAGCCCAAAGGCTTTAATGGCCCATTGCTCTGGCCGGATTATGTGCAGATAAAGCACCCCCACCCCCCCCCCCCCCCCCCCCCCCCCCCGTCCCCGGTATCTTGTTGACGGGTTCAAGGCAACTCGGCTCACTTTAGGAACAAACAAGACAACCAAGCAGAAACACTCACTCCTCCCGCCCTCCCCGGATCAAATATTCCGTATCTACTTTGCTAGATTTAGACCACAGCGGCTGGTCCATGGGTGTGTCTCCCGAGTCAGCTCCAGGAACATTCGTACCTGCGGGGGAGTTCTGGCCCCTGCTTCCCCTTCTTTCTCAGCTGTCCTCCTTCCCATGTTTGGTCCTACACCAAACTCATCCCAGAGAAGCTGAAGACAGGGAGAGGAAGAGCTAGTTACATATCATGGTTCATTTTTTTTTTTAATGTTTTATTTATTTTTAGGAGAGAGAGAGACAGCGCGAGCAGGGGAGGGTCAGAGAGAGAGGGAGACACAGAATCCGAAGCAGGCTCCAGGCTCTGAGCTGGCAGTCAGCACAGAGCCCGACGCGGGGCTCGAACCCACGAACCGCGAGACCATGACCTAAGCGAAAGTCGGCCGCCTAACCGACTAAGCCACCCAGGCGCCCCTCTTTCTTTCTTTTTTAAATCCTCTTTGCCTGTTCTTTCTTGGATTGATTTGATTCATCCATTTTTTCCTCTAGTAGTTTGGAAGCTACGCGTTCAATTTCTATTCTTCTGCTGGCTATCCTTAACATTTTAACATTTACTTAAACATACTTCTTCCTCTGTCTANGAATCCGAAGCAGGCTCCAGGCTCTGAGCTGGCAGTCAGCACAGAGCCCGACGCGGGGCTCGAACCCACGAACCGCGAGATCATGACCTAAGTGAAAGTCGGACGCTTAACCGACTAAGCCACCCAGGCACCCCTACATGTTATGGTTCAAATCCGCCAGTTAATCCAGTGGTTCTCAAACTTTGCTGCCCATTAGAATCACCTGTGCTGGGTGCCTGGGAGGCTCAGCCGGTGGAGTGTCCGACTTCGGCTCAGGTCACGATCTCATGGTTTGTGAGTTTGAGCCCCATGTCTGGCTCTGTGCTGACAGCTCAGAGCCTGGAGCCTGATTCTGTGTCCCCCTCTCTCTCTGCTCCTCCCCACCTCAGGCTCTGTCTCTGTCTCAAAAATAAACACTAAAAAAAAAAAAATTAAGAAAAAAATTTTAAAAGACTCACCCGTGTAGCTTTTAAGATTCTCTGATGCCCAAACACACCTTAGCCCAATTAAATCAGAATTTCTGATTTACTGAGGACCAGGCATGGCATTCGGTTGAGCCACATTTGAGAACCAGTAACTTAATAGCTGTTGCTCAGATCCCTGAATCAGTGCTGTCTACTGTGTGTGTGAGTCCTACACGTACCTCACTTCAGAACTTTCCATGCAGAGTCAGGCACATGGCCAAGCCTTCTGAGGGTAAGAGAATACCTCAGTCTGTTCCTGATTAACTCCCAGAATTGGAATCTGGTGGCTATTCCAAGATCACACATATGTCCCGTCACACATGACAAATATTTTATTACATTAAAAAAAAGTCATCTGTTAGCTGCTCAACTGCAGGCTACCTAATCTGAGGCCACCTCAGAAAAATGGCATCAGAAAACAAACAGATTTTGAGGATCACAAAATGGCTAGATTCCCCTCCACGTCCCCATTAAATATTAATCTGTGGCTTCCGCCCCTTCTGGTAAGAGCATCTAATTGCTGATGTCACATAAAACCAGATTACCCTAATGACACCAACAACAGGGGTCCGTCCCCGGCCACCTCCCTGGCTGCCAGATGGGGGCGTGAACAAGGAGGTAACGCCTAGTGGCACAGGGCCACTCCTCTGTGGTGAGCTCGCCCTTGTAGTGATGGGCCCTGGGGGCCACATCAACCGCGGTGGTGGTGTCTGGGTCCCATGAACATACTGCTCGTGGGGCTGAGGAGGGCCCTGGGATTGGTTCCATCCGAGGTCCAACCGGCGTGGTTCCGCTTCGCTACGCAGCAAATGTCACACCCTGAGAGAGTGGTCAGGAGGTGACGGCTTCGCCCGAGCAGGCCGGGCAGCGGGGACGTCTGCAGAGGGACCCGCCCTGCTTGCCTTCTGGTTCCCAGCAGCTTCTGAAGACCACCGCATCCACGTCACACTCTGGGTATTTGGACACAACCCAAATACTGTGTGTGGGTCCTTAGTTTACCCTCCTGTTCCCGGGGTGTGTCTAAGGCCGTGCGGTTTCTGGGGGTCAGAAGCTCCCAGGCTGCTTGAGAGGCACACGCTCGTTCTCACTTCTCTTCTCGCCTTCCTGCAGAAACCCGGTGGTAGCTCTGGTGGCTTCGCACGGGCTCAGATGGCTTCCTCCACCTGCAGGGGCTGCTCTACCCCTCCACCTTCTCGAGTCCTTCTCCTCTGCCCACACCCGCCCCCACCCCTGCACCAGGTCCTACCACAGAGGCTCGCCACCCATGCCCTTCCATCAGAGTTCAAGGGTAAATATTCAAGACACCTGTCGTGTCCCCGCCCTGGGCCCACACGCCCCTACCCCTTCCTCCCGGGCCCTCCATGCCGTCAGTCCTGCACCAAGAAGTTGATTAGAGCTGTTCTGGGGGACAGGAAAGCCTTCTTGATGCTTCGCCCCTGCAGGAGCCTGACACCCAGCTCGCTTTGGAGGATGAGTTCATGGACTTTGTCCTGGTCCCGCGCAACTTCCTGGGGTACAGGGACTTTGCCGCAGGCCTTGTTGTTGATCTGAGGACAAAAGGCAAGACAAACAATGAGGAAAGTCCTGAGAGGGAACCTCGCAGAACCAGCTTCCCAACACCACAGATGGGCAGACAGAGGCTGGGTGCCCACACCTGCAGCCGGTGCACCTGTGCTCCCGAGCATGGCCCCCTCCCAGCTGTGCTGGAAGTTAGGTCACACACCCTCAGCCACTGCCAGGGAGCCACCCAGGATTCTACCCGGGCCGTAGGTGGGCTGGCTCCTGGGGAAGGCAGGCAACCTCCCGGTCACAGGCCTGGCTCCTCTGAAAGGGGGCACCCAGGCACAGTGACTGGGAACCTGGGCCCACGTCACTTGAACTCTCCTTGCCAAGAAGGGACCGGTACACTTGCAGACGTCAGTGGATATACACTGAGTGTTGTTCAACATGGACAAACTTCACAGCATATATGAATTGATCTGGGCACAGAGGAAAGTGCTCTCACGGCCCAGGCGGCTTCTCAATGGCCAGGCTCAGATCCCCGAGCCCACTGCTCCCGTAAGAACACTTACGATTCTTTCACGGATGCTCCTGCTTTTTACCAGGGAAAATACAGTCACTGTATTATGAAAAGTTATCAGGAATAATTTCTGAGCTTTCAACTAAAGTCTATTAGGTGTCCCTAATCACCCACTTCATTTTTTTTTTTTCAGATTTGCATAGAACGTAATGGCATTTTTCTTGGTTGCATTAACCTACATCACTGGGTGGGAGCCAAATAAGAAAATACTATGTCCTGAAATATTCTAAAATATGGTTCTTTTTTTGGGCTGCCTGGGGGGCTCAGTCAGTTGAGCATCCGACTCTCGGTTTCGGCTCAGGTCATAATCTCGTGGTTTGTGAGTTTGAGCCCTACGTCAGGCTCTGCACTAGCAGCACACTAGCAGCACAGAGCCTGTTTGGGATTCTCTTTCTCTCTCCCACCACTCCACCCCCTCCCCCACTTGCACTGTCTCTGTCTCTCCCAAAATAAATAAACTTAAAAATAAAAATAAATAAATTAACTTAAAAATATGGCTGTTTTTAAAAAGTGTGAGTCTCAGGGCTGGGGCTGGCTCAGCCAGGTTAAGTGTCTGACTCTGGATTTCAGCTTTGGTCATGATCTCGTGTTTCAAAGAGTTCGAGCCCCACGTCAGGCTCTCTGCTGACAGTGTGGAGCCTGCTTGGGATTCTTTTTCTCTGCCCTTCCTCTGCTTGCTCTCTTTATCTCAAAATAAATAAATAAACTTAAAAAAAGATAAAAAACGATGAGTCTCCCGGATGCAGGGATTTAATGTTCTAAAGCTGTGGAGCTAGGGCTGCCGTTCGAAGGGCTGTGCCCCCCACACTCCCCACCCCTGCCACCTGCCTTTTGTTTCTAAGCCATTAGGAGCTTCCTTCTTTCACCACCCTGTGCTTGCTTTAACGAGAGTCCAGAAGAGGCCTCCCACCCTGTCACACCAAAGCCGTGCCCCTCGTGAAATCCTGGGGGCCTCAGACATGGCACCCTAGAATGGGCGCTGGATAGTGAGTCACGGCTCCAGTTTCTGCTCTCAGGCTCTTACCCAGGGAAGAGGGGCCCAGGGCAAGGCGAGAGAGTAGGTGCTTTTGAGCATACTCAGGTTTGACTCTCAGGCCTGGACTTACAAGCCATGGGACCTTCAGTTTTCTCTTCTTTAAGGATGGAATCCTCTGGATCGTTGAGGGAGATAAACCTGTATGAGGCAACCAGCCCACTAAGCCTTACACCTCCTTATCCCCTGACTCCCGGCTATGACGGAAGGAGCTGGTGTGGGATGTCCTCAGCACAATGGTGCCTCTCTGGGGACCTGGGAGCTGGCCCCTCTGGTGAGGCTGGTCCAGGGAGCTGAGTCATACTTGTTCCCAGCTGGGGCTGGGAAGGGGGTCCCATGACCTCTGCACGTGTCCAGGGAATGGCCCCAGGCACCCTCTCATGGCTTCTGGCTCCCTGGGACTCCTGAGTCACCTTACCCAGGGCCCCGACCCTTCACAGTGGGCGGGGCTCCATCCTGATCCAGCTCCTGGCAGGAGGCACCAGTTAAATGGACAACAGATGCCCCCGGACTTGGCCTTCAGGGGCCCAAAGGGGAAGAAGCTCTCGTGTGACTTTAGAAGAATCTTTGGGTCCCTGTTCGGTGGCTTCTGCTCCTCCAACTTTGCCATCTCCCCTCATCACTCCCAGCCGTGGTCCAGGGCCTTGGCATGTTCTCTTGAACTTTTCCAACAGAAAAGCTGGAAACCCTGAGCGCTGCCCTTGCCCCATCCACAGCCACTTACCGACACAGAGGCAGCCCTGTGACAGCTATGAAAAATGGAAGCTCCCACCGACTGAGCTCTCACTCTGTGCCAGGCTCTGGGCTGCGCAATACACCCGGGCGAACCTGCTTGTCTTCCTGCAGCCTTGTGCAGTACATGCAGGACCACTCTGTGCCCATTTTACAGATGGGGAAGCTGAGGCACAAGAGGTGGAGCCCCCTGCCCGAGGCCCCACTCCACAAGTGATGAAGACGGAATGACTTCATGGCTCGTCTCTGCCCCCAATCAGCCCCCTGCCACCCCCTCAGGGTGACGCCTGGCCATCTCCCCAGTGACGCCCTGCCTGTGCCTCTGCTCGAGCCCCTCCATGGCTCACAGTCCCAACATCACCGAGGGCTTTCCCCACCCTTGCTTGTGCCAAGCAGCCATCCTCTTCTGCACTAGGGAAATGCTGCTCCCCTTGAGAGCCAAGGTCCCATGTCCCCTCCCTGCAATGCCCTCGAGCACCTAGCAACACCTGCAGCGTACCCAGGGAGTAAGCCCCTTCTGCCACTGTTTCCTCCTCAGTCAAGTGGCCTTAGCCACACAAATGCCTGTGAAATGGGTAAAACAGGGCCCGCTCCAGAGCTGTTGTGTTGGGGTAAAGGAGTCAGGATCTCGAACCACTGATGAATCAATAAACTCAGGCAAGGCGACCAACTGCGCTGAGCCTGATTTCCCCACTGCAAACACCGAGAATGGAAATACCTACTTCACTGAGTGAGAAGAGTCTACTTCGATTTTGGATGTGAATGACCCGGCCCCATGCGTGGTTCAGAGATGTGTGTACTCAAAGGTCCCCCAGTTCAGCCCCGTCAGCCTCAAATGTGTAAACATTATATAAAGGACAAACCATTAAGAGTTACCTGCTCTATAAAAGGTTGAAATAAAAGAATGTCTTTTATGTACCTACAATGATGCAATTTACCAAAAAAGTTGTTGTCTTTTTAAATAGGCTCCATGTCCAGTGTGGAGCCCAACACAGGGCTCAAAGCCAGAGATCAAAGTTCAGATGCTCAACTGACCGAGCCACCGAGGCATCCTCCCAAAAGAGAAATTTGATGCAGCCTTTCTGAAATAGATGTTTTCAGTGACATGCCAACCTCCTCACCCTCACCCTCCTCCCTAAATGAACTGAGAGCAGCTGAACGAAACAAAAGAAGAGGAGACTGGAACCCAGCTGGGGGAACAAGACCACCAGAACCTGTAACACAGGGCAGGGTTCCCTTTTCCACTTTCTAATCCCTGATGGGCCCTGAGTGTTTTATGCTCACAAGCTTTTGGTATGTAGTGACCTGAGGTGTGCAAAGGAAAGAGGGGCGGGACGGTCAGGCTGGGGGCGGGAAGGCTGGAAAGGCCCAGGCAGTGGCTGAGGGGCTTGCACACGGGGCCGGGACCTGCCTGGGCCAGGCTATGGGGGAGACACTCACCAGGACAGCCATCTCCACGATGTCAGGTTGCTGGAGGAACTGCGGGTCCACGGCCGGCCACGCCTGCAGCAGCACGCCGGCATCCCAGGCATAGTGGGCGCACAGCTTCCTGGGCACCTGAGCCAGGCCTGCAACACCAAAGCACAGAGGGTCACCAAGCACACACAGGGATCATGGGGGCAGCGTGAGCTTTCACCCCAGCAGAGCCCAGCAAGGAGCTGCACGAGGCCACACCACAGCTTTTTCACAGCCTGCCAGGCGCCTCCCCCCTCCACCGTATTCTGGCCTGGGGTTTATAGGGAGTCCCCCCACCGACCAACCGTTTAATGTGTTTTTTTTTTTTTTTAATTTATTTCTGAGACAGAAAGAGAGAAACAGAGTGAGCAGGAGAGGGTCAGAGAGAGAGGGAGACACAGAATCTGAGGACAGGCTCCAAGCTCCGAGAGGGCTGTCAGCACAGAGCCCAACGCAGGGCTCGAACCCACAAACAGTGAGATCATGACCTGAGCTGAAGTCGGATGCTTAACCAACTGAGCCACCCAGGTGCCCCGACCAACCATTTTAAATAGCGCCCTGAGCTGTAAAGACAGACACACTGTTCTAAAGTGTGCATTTTGGCAAAACAAGGCCACTGATTTGCCTTGGTCTCTGCAGCTCTGTTGATGAAGTAATGCCTTTATGCTCCTGCGAGCAGATCCCCGAATCATGAGCTGTGCTCGCTTCCCCTCCTGCCTGTCACTACTTGTGGTCTGTGAGGGCCTCCCCGCTACCCCGGTCCCTCTACTCATAATCACTTGAGCCAACACGCCAAGAGCAGGAGGGAGCTCCTTCTCCACCTTCTCAAAGGGATCCCAGCCTTCATGCTCAACTTCTGGAGAGGGGCCCCCGCCAAGCAATGAATTAGAAAGTGCAAGTCTTGGCTCCGGACGGGTGGAACGCGAGGAAGCGGTAAGGAACAAAAGCCCACAAGTCTGTGTCCTAGAGTGCGTCACGCTGCAGCCCCAAAGCAGACACAGGCAGGCTCCCCACCTGCAGGGGTGCCCAGCGACTTCCGCAATGGTCAGAACACAATGATGTACATGTTGCTTTCCTAGTAGGAAAGTTTGGACTGGGAAGCTTCTGCCAATCTCATGAGCACAAGAGATGCCCCCAAACATGCAAGGAAGACATGCATCAGAAAGCAGATCCCTGGGGCGCCTGGGTGGCTCAGCTGGTTACGCATCCGATTTCGGCTCAGTTCATGATCTCATGGTTTGTGGGTTAGAGCCCCGCGTCGGGCTCTGGGCTGACAGCTCACAGCCTGGGGCCTGCTTTGGATTCTGTGTCTCCCTCTCTCTGCCACTCCCCTGTGTGCACTCTGTCTCTCTCTGTTTCTTTCTCTCTCTCAAAAATAAATAAACACTAAAAAATTTTAAAAAGAAAACAGATCTCTGGGCACTACCAGTGTGGCCACTTCCCCACTGCCTTCCCGTCCTCCTGGAGGCGGGCCCTGGACGGGGGCTGGCAGTGAAGGGGGCGGTGCTCCTCACTCTGGGACTGGCTTTTCCAGGAGTGGCAGAGGTGGGGTAGCCCTTGCACACTTCCTCCTTATTCTTAGCCTTGAACCCGGCAGGTGCACTTGAGGGAGGAGCCCATGCCTCAGTGGATGGTCTGAAGCCAGCTCCGAGGGCGAGGAATGAATCCCACCAGCATCAGCGTGCCAGGGATACTGCTGGGACCAACGTTTTATCTTCCCTGACGGCAAAAGTAATGCCCGCTGTTTGCAGAAAATTTGTGAAAGCTCAGACTACAAAGAAAATCATGTTCACTTGGATAACATTTTTTAAGCTTCTTATTTTGTTTTCTTCTTTTGTTTTAAATTGTTTTTTAAGATTTATTTATTTTTGAGAGAGAGACAGACAGACAGAGTGTGAGCAGGGGAGGGGCAGACAGAGAGGCAGACAGAGAATCTGAAGCAGGCTCCAGGCTCTGAGCTGTCAGCACAGAGCCCGATGTGGGGCTTGAAGTCACGAACTGTGAGATCATGACCTGAGCTGAAGCTGGACATTCAACCAAGTGAGCCACCCAGGTGCCCTCAAGCTTCTTATTTTGAAAGATAGTAATGTATTTAGTGAATAGGATATATACAAACCAACCCGACCAAACCAGGCACAGCCACCGGGATCATGCTGTATATGGAGCTCTGTATTCCTTGTTTCATTATTTTAAAATCATAATTAATAGGGGCGCCTGTGTGGCTCAGTCAGTTAAGTGTCTGACTTCAGCTCCGGTCATGATCTCGCAGTTTGTGAGTTTGAGTCCCACCTTGGGCTCATTGCGAGGCAGAAGAACACAGGCCAGAATGTGGATCAACGCAAGGCTTCCTTGACCAAAATAACTGGTTGGCCCGCCTCAGAAGTGTGCGTGGTGACACACACTGTAAATTCAAGCTGCTTATCCCGTTGTGGCCTGTTTCAGCCAGTTCCCAGACCGGCCCAGGTCCACGACTCACCCTAGAGTCACATGGACCCATTCTACTCTGTACGCCTCTGTCTTGATTCTTGTGCTGGTATCATGCACGTACGTGTCGCTTAGTGCATGTTGTGCTCCACGGCACTCTTGTGCTGCTAGTCAGTCTGAGGGAAATGCACGCCCACCAGAGTCTGAGCATCTAGTGGCATCAAAGATGTACTCCTGTGGCCCAGCTGGGCCCTGTGCCCCAGGGTTCCAGCACTCATTAACGAACCCACTCCATTCCTAACAGATGTGCGGTTTGGCCGAAGCCGGGAGGAGCTTCCGGCTCGTTCCTCAGAAGGGGTGCTATTATGACTCCTGTCCAAATACAAGACAGAGGTCACAGAAGGGAGATAATCACGTCTTTATTTTAGCAAGCTGGCCCCGTCTGGCTTGTCCTGTGACCCAGCGGCAGTGGGCCAGGGTCCAGACCCTCTGCATGGTAGCTGTACAGGATGCCTGGAGATGAAAGGGCCTTGGACACTAATGTTCTGGGCAGAAGCTGCTACAAATTCCACTAAAATTAAAAAAAAAAAAAAAAAAAACAAGGAAGCCCGGCCTTCCTGGAGCAATCAGAATGCTTATTTATAGCAGCCTGGGTCCCTGCCAGGGTGTCCCTATAGACGGGGGTGGGGCTGTTCTGCCGGGCAGGAGGAACAGAAACTCCGGGCTGTGGGTTCTATGCCGGGCGTTTGCCTCTCTGCTCTTTAGGGAAGTAAAAATACCCAACATTTGCGTAGCAAAAACAATGGTTTCTTTACGTGACACAGCCCAGGTCGAGAGCCAGTCTCTGGGTAGCACCTGGACAGAGTCTGAACACAGGCCAGGAAGTGTCAAGGCCACGGCACACAAGGCAGGGCGTGCAGTCGCCTACGGCCCACCCACCACTCCTCCCCCTCCTCTGGGAGAGCCGGTGTGTCGACCTTCCAGGCAGGTGACCAAATTTTACACATGTAAGTAAACTGTCCTCAGATCATCAGTGAGAACTTATTCTCCTTTATTTACAAAGGTCTCACACACACACACACACATACACACACACACACCCCTACGTGATCTGTACGTTTGCAATTTTGTTGAAGTTGAGGAACATAACCTATATGCATAGCAAAATGCTACACTGCACTATTTTAAATTTTTTTTTTTAATTTTAGTTTTTAATGTTTATTTTTGAGAGAGAGAGACAGACAGAGCAGGGTGGCAGAGGAGCAGAGAGAGAGGTGTCAGCACAGATCCTGATGCAGGGATCGAACCCACAAACCGTGGGATCATGACTTGAGCCAAAGTCAGATGCTCAATGGAGTGAGCCACCCAGGTGCCCCTACACTGCACTACTTTACAGCCACTTTGACGAGGAAAAATGGATCCATGGGGGCAGCCTGGTACTTTCAGGATTACAAGTTACTTCTGAATGCCTGGGGGCAGGGGAGGGTACCGGGTCACCTTGCTGTGACCTCACAACTACAGTGCTGATGGCAGACCTGAAGCTCACACAAGGTAAAGTCTGATGCAGGAGTCCAGACAGAAGCCTCCCTGCGCAACCATAAAAATGGCCAGAAAAACAGAAAACGAGAGCTTACCACCCCATCTTAAATAGCTCGTATTTCAGACGAGAGGCTAACTCCAAAGTAGCACAAAAAATAGCAAAAGAAGGAAAGATCACCCGAATGACTTGTGGAACCTTTGTAGGGTGGGACATGGTGTGGCTGGTAAAGAAAGAACGGGCGTGCCCGTGAGCACTGGTACAAAACTACTCTCAATAGAAAAAGGGAGCAAAACGTTGTACATGATGCCAACATCTGTATAGAAACAGACGCACATTTCATGGACAACATGCATGGAGTTCTAGTCTCAGATTAAATTCTTTTTTTAAAAAAGCTTATTTATTTTGAGAGAGACAGACAGACAGACAGTACGAGTGGAGGAGAGACAGAGAGACAGAGTCCCACCAACAAAGGGCTTGAACCCATGAAGCTGTGAGATCATGACCTGAGCTGGAACCAAGAGTCGGATACTCAACCGACCAAGCCACCTGGGCGGCCCCCCTTCGAGCATCAGATTTAATAGCAAACCGGTAGAGAGGTTCTCAGAGCAACAGAGCAACCGGGTCAGTGCAGACGGGGCTGAGGACGCACCCTTCTGTGACGGCTGGATGCTTCACAATATGCATGGAGACATAACTTTTCGATTAAAAATCTGGGTTTTGCTTTGCTTTAAGAAGACCAGAGAGGCACCCTGGAGGGGGAGTTATTTTCTGCAGCTGGCACTAGGCCTTCCCTTCCGAAGCTGAGCTTCCCCAGCAGCCAAGGGGACCCTGGGGCAGCGGCGCGGGTGGGACCGCAAGGACAGGCCTGTCCTGTGACTGTCCTGCTGCTCTGCCCAGCAATGCAGGAGACACAGCGTCTCAAGCATTGGTCTGGGGTGTGTGTGTGTGTGTGTGTGTGTGTGTGTGTGTGTGTGTCTATTAAAACCTTCTTCAACCAGAAATAAAAGCCTTCTTCTCTCAGGGTCACTATGTTTCAGAGCCAGGATCTTAACACTCAGGACTTGTGGGCTTAGAAAGACGATGTAAAACAAAAGGACTCTATTTTGAAATAATTTAATGTCCACAGGAGGCTGTGAAGAAATGGGACCC